ACATAACATATAACATAACATATAACATATAACATAACATATAACATAACATAACATAACATATAACATATAACATAACATAACATAACATAACATAACATAACATAACATATAGCAACATAACACATAACATAACATATAACACATAACACATAACACATAACATATAACATAACATAACATAACATACATAACATAACATAACATAACATATAACATATAACAACATAACACATAACATAACATATAACACATAACACATAACATATAACATATAACATAACATAACATAACATAACTTAATAGACTGGCCATTTGTCCAGGGTGTTTCCACTTGTGTGCTTTATAATAATAAAGAACAATAGACAAGAAACTGTGATAATAAATAAGAAACTGTATTTCAAAATATTTGCAGCAAACCTGCATCCAATATATATAACACACACACACGCTCACAGGTTTACATTTGTGAAAAGTGGGGACATCCCATAGGCGTAATGGTTTTTATACTGTACAGACCGTATATTCTATTGCCCTACACCAACCCTACACCTAAACCTACCCCTTACTGGAAACTCTGTGCATTTTCAGATTTTCAATACACTCCATTCTGTGTGATTTATAAGCGTTTTGAAAAGTGGGGACATGGGGTAATGTCCTGAAAAGTCACCTTCTCCTTGTAATACCTATGTCATACCCTTGTCATTATACAAATGTATGTCCTCATTTGTCACAAAAACGCGTACACGCACGCACACACACACACACACACACACACACACACACGTATATACATACATACTCCATCATATTCCCTGACTTCACGAAAGGATCAGGTCTGTTGATGTCTGAGAATAAATCAAACAGATATACTTCCGTGTAGTTGGATGGATGTGTAACGTGTAACATATAAACAAGACGGTGACATAAAACTGGTTTAGAAATCATCTATTTAAAATGTGAAATGATAACGTTTTCTAAAAATATTTTATTAATGAATGCAGTTTGTTAAAAACATCATCCCAGTCAGCGATATCATTAAAATGGAGCTGTTCCAGTTTACGAATGATTTAAAAGTAATTAAAACCCAAATAAAAATGTATCCGCTTTTCTTTTTATCTTATTTATTTATTATTTTTATTTGCTATTCATTTCGTTTGTATTATTTTATATAAAATTATTTTATACATGTTTTAAGAAGAAATGTGCACAAACACGTTTTTTCTGTTCTTTTGGCTCTGTGCAGAACCCCTAAAGGGACATGGCCATGGGGAAAAAACAAAAATTTTGTGATGGAAATGAGGTGGCATGAAAAATTCTCCATCATATTCCCTGACTTCACGAAAGGATCAGGTCTGTTGATGTCTGAGAATAAATCAAACAGATATACTTCCGTGTAGTTGGATGGATGTGTAACGTGTAACATATAAACAAGACGGTGACATAAAACTGGTTTAGAAATCATCTATTTAAAATGTGAAATGATAACGTTTTCTAAAAATATTTTATTAATGAATGCAGTTTGTTAAAAACATCATCCCAGTCAGCGATATCATTAAAATGGAGCTGTTCCAGTTTACGAATGATTTAAAAGTAATTAAAACCCAAATAAAAATGTATCCGCTTTTCTTTTTATCTTATTTATTATTTTTATTTGCTATTCATTTCGTTTGTATTATTTTATATAAAATTATTTTATACATGTTTTAAGAAGAAATGTGCACAAACACGTTTTTTTCTGTTCTTTTGGCTCTGTGCAGAACCCCTAAAGGGACATGGCCATGGGGAAAAAACAAAAATTTTGTGATGGAAATGAGGTGGCATGAAAAAAATTCTGTTCTTTTCAGAGACAACCCAAAGTTCTATCGCTAAAGTTTCACATTCTCTCGCTAAACATTTAGCATTCTATCGCTAAAGTATTGCGTTCCACTGAGAATATTTGCGTTCTCTCGTTAGACATTGGTATTCTATCGGTAAAGTATTGCTTTCCCCTGAAAAACATTGTGTTCTCTTGCTCGACATTTGTGTTCTATTATTAAAGTATTTCGTTCCCCCGAGAAACTTTGCGTTCTCTCGCTAGACATTTGCGTTCTATCAGTAAAGTATTGCGTTCCCCAAAAAAGTCTGCTTTCTCTCGCTTGACATTTGCATTCTATCGGTAAAGTATTGTGTTCCCCCAAGAAACTTTGCATTCTCTCGCTGGACATTTGCGTTCTCTTGCTCAACATTTGCGTTCTATCGGTAAAGTATTGCGTTCTATCAGTAAAGTATTGCGTTCCCCCAAGAAACGTCTCGGTTACTTGTGTAACCCTCGTTCCCTGAAGGAGGGAACGGAGACGTTACGTCAGTCGTGACTGACGAATTGGGATCTCGCCCTAGAGCCCAATCACCTTCGAGTGTAAACTAAGCAAGCCAATGACAGTTGGCGTACGTGTTTCGCCACGCGCACCCCGCCCCGCAGCACGGGTATAAAAAATTCAAATACATTATTTTCTATGAGTGTAGGCACTACACTACGGCACCCAGCTACGTCGTGTTATACTTGTAAGAATTGTTCTAGACATGCCGAAAATTTTAAGCTACAGCACAGCAGCTCTTCTTCTTGGTTTTCTCTGATGCACTGACTCTGTAGCAGCACTTCTTCTTCGTTGTCTCATCTGATGCAGTCACTCAACCAAGCATTCTAACCACAACCTCGCCCCTCCCCAACCATTCGAATTTCTGTAGGCGGGAATTATTTGTAATGATATTCTAATGAGCCGCTTTGTGATATCACAAAGCCCAAAAAACAAACGCTGTAGTCCAAACGATTTGTTCGTTGTTGTTCTTAAAAAAGGGATTTAAAAAAAACGAAATATCTCCCTTTGGAGTGGACTTTGAGATTTATAACTTTCTAGATCTTTTTATGCCCAAATATACGCACTACACACTGACTCAAATTAAAAAAGTGAAAAAGCATAATAGGACCCCTTTAAAAAAAAAGTTTTTTTTAAATATGTAATGTGTATATTTTATTTTACCCTTATTTCAGTTAACGAAAACACCTTTTGATAGTTTTAACAATAACATCAGTGCTCTGTCTTTTTCTTGTAGGGAGCTTTTCATCCGTTTACTCACGTCTACACACAGTCAGATGTGATGAGGGTGATTGAACATGCAAGAATGAGAGGCATTAGAGTCATTCCAGAGTTTGACTCTCCTGGACACACACAGTCATGGGGGAAAGGTACACACACAACACACACACACATCCACATCTACTGGAAAAACATGAAATCAGAGATTATAAAAACTAATGTTGAAGAGTAATGACGTTTGTTCTCTATTCTCAGGACAGCCAAACCTCTTGACTCCCTGTTACAAGGGGGATGTGCCCTCTGGTTCATTCGGACCTGTCGATCCAACAGTAGACACCACTTATAAGTTCATGGAAAGCCTCTTGAAAGAGGTGAAGTTTGTCTTTCCTGACTCGTACGTTCATTTAGGAGGGGATGAGGTCAGTTTTGCCTGCTGGTAAGCATTTTTGTCACATGATGCTGTTTTGGGTGCCTCATTGGAGCTTAACTGCACAAAACAAACAAAAAAGGGTGGATTTTTCATTCAGAGACTTTAGCGGTGTTATCCTCTCAAACAGGCAGTCGAATCCCAATGTGCGAACGTTCATGGAAAAGATGGGCTTTGGGAAGGATTTTACCAAACTGGAATCATTCTATATGGAGAGGTGAGGGGAAATGTGAGAGTGTTTAAAAACAAAGCTGACTTCAAATGTTCAAAACGTTTGGGGTCTCTAAGATTTTATAATGTTTTTGAGATCTCTTATGCTCATGAAGACTGCATTTATTTGATCAAAAATAAAAACAGTAATAACGTCAAATGTTTTTACAATTTAAAATAGCCGTTTTCTATTGTAATATATTGTAAAATGTAATTTATTCCTGTGATCAAAGCTGTATTTTCAGCATCATTACTCTAGTCTTCAGTGTCACATGATCCTTCAGAAATCATAATATGCTGATTTGCTGCTCAAGAAACATTTCTTATTATGATCAGTGTTGGAAACAGTTGTGCTGCTTCACATTTTTGTGGAAACTGTGACTTTTATTTTTTGAAATGTCTTTAAAGTCACTTTTGAATCACTTACTGAATGGAAGTATTAATTAAAAAACATCAACTTTTGAATGGTTTGGACATAACTACTCATTCATTATTATTAATATTTTCACATTCTAAATGAACAGCATAACTTGTTGACTACATGATCTTTTCCAACTGATCCATTTATTTTTAATTAAAATAAAATTAAATAGCAATTATTTTATTTTATTTTATTTTTTTAAAATTAATATTTAACTTTTTTTTTAAGTTGTAATTTTATTTGGTTCAATCCAGGATTCTAAAATGTTCTCAAATATATTTGGTTGAAACCATAAAATAACCATAAGATAAATATCTTTCAAGATAAATAAATGAAATTCTGTTTTAATATGCTTAGTACATATTTTTGTCTTATGACAGTTGGTTCATAGAAGAAAAAATATTTACAAATTTACTGCAGAACCATAAATAGCACATTCATGAACGCAGTGTTTATGTTTTTCACTATGTCTCTCTTTATGTTCTTCAGTATAATGAACATGACCGCCGCTCTCAACAGAACCTCCGTTGTTTGGCAGGACGTGTTTGACTACCACGAGCGAGTGAGTAGAAACAGTCGCACTGGTTGCATTTTGAAAAGATTGTAACAGTATGCATGATTGTAACAGGAATGAGATGCTTCTCTTCCAGCCCAGATCTAAGTACGTGGTGGAGGTTTGGAAGCAGGGCTGTTACCTGTGTGAGATGCGCCGGGTGACTAAGGCAGGGTTAAAGGTCATCCTGGCAGCCCCTTTCTACCTCGACCTGCCGATACCCACTCACAGCTGGGCCCGTTACTACATCGTGCGGCCCTTAGCCTTTAGGGGTCAGAGCATGAGTGCAAAACACTAACAATATTTGCAGTGCTGTGTCTCAGTGTAGTGCTGACTTTTCTCAAATCTTCATTCTGTCCAGTGTGAAAATGTGTGTTCTGCTGTGAGAATCAAACAAACATGCTATGATTAAAGCATGACTTTATCAGTGTTATTTTAGTATTATTTATATACTATTCAAATATTCATTTATATTTGGAGTTCATTTTCATTTTTAATTAAAATTTCATTTAAATAATTAAATTTTAAATTTACTTTAATTTTAATGTTTTTTTTAATTTTGAATTATTATAATTTATTTATATTATTATTATTATTTTTTAGTTTTAGTTTTAGAACTTAAATTTAAAGAGACACCATATAACTTTTGGCCCTCTAGCAGTTGAAAAATGAAACGCATGCATCTTGCAAAAGGAACATGCATGGGCGAATTAAGTATTCATGCAACGTCCTGCGAAATCCATCCCAACAGCTCTAAAATATTAATTATTATTATTATAGGTTTATCAGAGTGTATTTTGTGAAGTAAAGACATGGTTTGGACTGGTCATTAATAACATTTTGTTTTGGTTTTGTTTAATAAAAAAGTAACAATGTAGATTTAAACTGATTTATTTCAGTTATGTATTTATATTTCATTTTATTTCAGCTATATTTCAATTAATAGTTTCAGTTTTATAACAACACTTGACTTTGTATTTTGGTATTGCATCAGCTAAGCAGGGATATTATAGTTAATTAATACTAAAACCATTAAAAAATATATTACTTGAACATTAACTAAAAAAAACATAAGCTTATTTTATTTCAGGTAGTTGCCAAGGCAACAGCTCTCATTTAGTTTATCTTTATGTACTAAAATAACTAAAACTAAAACTGAAACAAAAAGTACCAAAACTTTAATATTAAAATGAAAATAGAAACGAATTCAAATTATTAAGGAAAACTATAATAGTATGTCGATACTAAAATAACACTGCAAATGAAATAACTAGTACAATAGGGAAAAAAACAACTTTAAGAGATGAATGAAACGCCCATGTTCTGTATTCTGCACTCAGAATGCAGCAATGAAATGCTGTTGTCACGATCACTGCACTTTCTAACCAGAAGGTGTCGATCAAGAGTCGGGTTTTGATAGTGTGAGGTGAAACACAGTGCCATCAGACTGTACATGTGACACAAATAGTTTCCCCAGCCTTTCAGAAGATATAAAGTAAAATGTATCAAATATCATTTTTGTTGTATGTCAGAACAGTGGCCTATTGATTAATACGTTGAGCTCTGGTGCTCTTTTGGGCCTTTTGAGTTTGAATCTAGCTTGCAACATTTTTCGAATCGCGTTTCCGCCTCTTCCTCCCATCATTTTCTGTCCTCCCTCCACAGAACGCTCAGTGAAAGCCTCAAAATGTTGCATTTATGCAGGTGAATAAAGCAGAGCTGGTTGGTAATGCCATAAGGCATGGAAAGTGCAGTGCGTGTGACCCAGTGTTTCCTGCTGTCTCAGATTCCACAGGACACGGTTCTGGAGATCTGGAAGGGTGAAACTTACCAGGCTGAACTGAGCAGGATGACCAAGGCTGGGCACAGGGTTCTGCTCTCTGCCCCCTGGTACATCAACCACATCAGCTACGGCCAGGACTGGCGTAACTCCTACGCAGTGCAGCCCCAAAATTTCTCCGGTGTGTGGAGCAGCGTGTTAGGCAGCGGTCCAATTTGAAATGCTTGATACAAAGTATACAAGCAAATGGGTGATTCATGAGAACCTGATGGTCTTTCCTGGTTCAGATTCAAGTTAACTGGAGTTTGTTTAATTTAGCGAATTCAGTAGAGAATTAGTCAGTTAGCTCTAATGAATGACTTTCAACTATTCTAATTAATGATTATTCAGCTATCATCTTATCATTTTAACTCAATTCTGGAGTTTTGTTTGCTGTTTGTGTTTGTAGTGCAGTGCTGGTGTGTTTTCAGTGTATATCTGCTGTCTTTGATTAAATTATTTTGTGCATTTTTTCTTCTTCAATGATTTAGGGAAATACATTTTTTATGAATTAATTTTAAATATTTCTATGTAGCTTTAAATGATTTTTATTTCAGTTTTAGTATTTTGCCAAGGCAACATTTCTAATTTTAGTTTTTTAAGTTTTAAACTTAAGTTAAATCTGTTGTATTTGGTTACATTTGTGCATTTTGTGTAAAATTTAGGAACAAGAGAATATTGTTTATTATTAATTTGTTTTCTAATTAGCGTTAATTCATTTTATTTCAGTTTTAGTTTTAGCATTTTTAGTGCTTCAGCTTAAGTTGAGTTTATTTCAGTTTGGTCCAATTTGAAATGCTTGATACAAAGTATACAAGCAAATGGGTGATTCATGAGAACCTGATGGCGTTTCCTGGTTCAGATTCAAGTTAACTGGAGTTTGTTTAATTTAGCGAATTCAGTAGAGAATTAGTCAGTTAGCTCTAATGAATGACTTTCAACTATTCTAATTAATGATTATTCAGCTATTATCTTATCATTTTAACTCAATTCTGGAGTTTTGTTTGCTGTTTGTGTTTGTAGTGCAGTGCTGGTGTGTTTTCAGTGTATATCTGCTGTCTTTGATTAAATTATTTTGTGCATTTTTTCTTCTTCTATGATTTAGGGAAATACATTTTTTATGAATTAATTTTAAATATTTCTATGTAGCTTTAAATGATTTTTATTTCAGTTTTAGTATTTTAGTCGAAACTTGTTTTATTTCAGTTAGTTGCCAAGGCAACATTTCTAATTTTAGTTTTTTAAGTTTTAAACTTAAGTTAAATCTGTTGTATTTGGTTACATTTGTGCATTTTGTGTAAAATTTAGGAACAGAAGAGAATATTGTTTATTATTAATTTGTTTTCTAATTAGCGTTAATTCATTTTATTTCAGTTTTAGTTTTAGCATTTTTAGTGCTTCAGCTTAAGTTGAGTTTATTTCAGTTAGCTGCCAAGGCAGTTTTTCTAATTTAAATTTTTAATATTTTAAAATTTAATTTTAACTTTTTTTTTTAACTTACATTATATCTGTTTTATTTTGGTTATTTGGTGCATTTTCCCCTATGATTTAGGGACAGAAGATATTTGTCATATTTTTTATTTTATTTATTATTATTTATGAATTTTTAATATATATATATATATCTTTTTTTTTAGTATCTCAGCTTAAACTTAAGTTTTATTTAAATGCCTTGTTTTAAATGCCAGGGCAACATTTCTTATTTTCGATTGTTTTTCGGTTTTAGTTTTAAGTTTAATACTTAAGTTATATGTATTGTATGTATTTAGTTAAAAAAAAATTTTTTTTTCCTGATTTAGGGACGGAAGAGCAGAAGAAGTTGGTGATTGGTGGAGAGGTCGCCATGTGGGGTGAATATGTCGACGCCACCAATCTGAACCCACGCCTGTGGTATGAAAAAATACACAGACAAGATTATAATTCCTATTATTATTATTTATACAGAATCTTCCATATCTATGTGATCTTTGTGTTTGTGAAGGCCGAGAGCCTGTGCTGCAGCGGAGAGGTTGTGGAGCGATGAAGAAAAAACCATGAACGCAGATCTGGCCTTCCCTCGCCTGGAAAAGTTTCGCTGTGAACTTCTAAGGTATTCGAAATATGTTTGTAATCATTCCTTATCAACCTCTGCTTCGTTTCAGTGGCACAGTGCACATTCAAAATGAAATATTTAGTATTATTAAACATATATATGCTTTATTGCTTATATATATTGTATAAGAATACTATTCAAGTATATCAGAAGAATTTAGTTTTAAAGAGTTAATTGTTCTTACCATTAAAAGCACTTGCTGTTTGTGTTTCCGCAGGCGGGGTATTCAAGCGGAGCCTCTGTTTGTAGGTCATTGTAAACATGAGTATGATGGCCTGTAAGTCACTAAAACTGAAGAGCCATGTGTTTATGCACTGCGATATTGCTTTGGAATTTGCACAATACTCTCTCTATATTTTTTTCATTCTAAAAAATTAATTAATGATCATGTAAATTGACTTTTACAAAAGAAAATGTGAAATTTATTAATAAAGATCTATTCAAGAATGAATTAGTTGTGTATTACGTTACAAGTTAATCTTCTTTTTTAATAATAACAATATTATAAACATGCATATTGTATTTAGCCCTAAATTGTATTTGGACACTAAAGTTGCACTTAAAACTAAAGTTGCACTTAAAACCACTGTATATAAAACAATCAAGTCATTATCGTTGTGGCAGATGTAAAATGCATATCTCATTTCATTAACAAAGGTTAGGTTTGGTCCTGATTTCCCACATTTGGAGAGTATGAGGTAAACGGCTGATGTAAAGTACCTACACATTTAATGAAATCTCCTGCCACTGCGACACCAATCCCGTCTCACAGCCGCACAGCAGCAGATCCTATTAACACTGATGGGCTTTATACACAAGATAAAGTAGGACAGTGAGAGGTGTGAACGTTGTTAGTGTAGCTGCAAAAAGCAAGTGCAGTCAATGTTCTTTTAGTATATAGCAATATATTTTATTACATTTTGTTTTTATTTGTACATTTATTTTACATTTAAGTCATATTGTTATGTACTTTTGTTGATTTTATTTTATTTTTAGTATTTCTACCTTTCATTTATTTTTACTTCGCTTTTTAATAATTTTAGTACTCAAGTTTTTCATCCATTTTTTTCAGTTAACAAAAACTATTTTAATATTTTTAACTTTAGTTAAAAATAACAACACTGCCTGGAACATTCCTTTAGATGTTTGTTTATGTTGTAACCATTAGGCCACGGGGAAGTCGTGGCCTAATGGTTAGAGCGTCGGACTCATAACCCAAAGGCTGTGGGTTCGAGTCTCGTACCGGCAGGGATTGTAGGTGGGGGGAATGAATGTACAGCACTCTCTCCCACCTTCAATACCACGACTGAGGTGCCCTTGAGCAAGGCACCGAACCCCCAACTGCTCCCCGGGCGACGCAGCATAAATGGCTGCCCACTGCTCCGGGTGTGTGTTCACGGTTTGTGTGTGTTCACTGCTGTGTGTGTGCACTTTGGATGGGTAAATGCAGAGCACTTTCACTTGTCACTTGTACTTCACTTTATTTATTTTAATTAATTTTATTATAGTGAATTTTAGGGTCTTTAAAAATTATTTTAAATAAACTTGTTCTCACTCATAACAAAAAAAATATATAAATTGTACATTTTATTATAGTTATATTAATAATAAATAAAATGTTTTTCTCTCTGTTCTCACTCATAACAAAAAAAATATATAAATTGTACATTTTATTATAGTTATATTAATAATAAATAAAATGTTTTTCTCTATCTATATATATATATATATATATATATATATATATATTACATATAATTATGCATGTATGTATATATATATATATATATATATTTTGTTGTTGTTGTTGTTGTTGTTTGTTTGTTTGTTTGTTTTATATTATATATATAAATATATATTATAAATGTTTTATTTCCTGCTCTAAAATTATTTAATATCTAAATTATATTGTATTTAAATATTTAAGAATTTTTGTAAATAAGATTAAAATATTCAAAATTTAAAAAATAAAATTAGAAAATAGTGTATCAGACAAATATTTATCAAAATTTTTACTATTTGTATTTTGTGTAAAGAAAACATGTATGTTTATTTCAACAGCGGTCATTACTGAGAGTTAATTTTTTGTTTTAATAGCAGCTTGATCCTTTTTTGGCGATTCAGCAGCAAGTTGCACGCAATGAATAAGCCTCCCGATCCCTTGCTCAGCACTAACATGGTCTTTTAACTTAAGTCCTCCTAATGTTTAAGTTACTTGCCAAAATGAGCTTACATGCCTTTGATATTTACTTAGACAATTGATTTTCTCATTGACGGGATTATGCGGCTGCTGGCAGATGGCAGGGATTGGTTAATCCCAGAAAGCAGCGCTGCCGCCCCGTTCCCACCTGCCCTTCTCTGTCCCGCTGAATCTACATGACCAGACTGACCCCTACATGACCTTTACTTTTTTTATGGATGTGTATGTGTGAGACAATGATAACCTGGAATGACCTGGAACCGTTTGAGGACTCAGAAATATATATATATATATATATATGTATGTATGTATGTATGTATGTATGTATGTATGTATGTATGTATGTGTGTGTGTGTGTATTTATGTATCCATTTTTTATTTAATTATTTATTTTAATTTATTTATGTTTTGCTTTTTTTGTTTGGTTCTGTTTTATTTTGTTTGTTTAATGTTTGTCTTTTGTTCTTTTTTGTTTGTTTTTGCTTTTTGTTTTTTGTTCTGTTTTGTTTAATGTTTTTTTTGGTTCAAGTACTGTGTTTATATGGTAGAAGTGTCTCATATTAAGCATATCTTGCACATATTAAAGTGAAGATAAAATATCCTACAGAGTTTGTTATTTAGCCTCAAGTAATTAGTTTATTGTTTTTACTTAAGTTTTAGTACTTCAACTTCAACTTTTAACTTTTTTCAGTTAACTGCCTAGACAACATTTCATCAAATAATTTTTTCATAACATTTTAAATAATACTTTTTTAGTTAATGAAAAATCGACCAATATCAACACTGCCTGAGACGTTCTTTTAGCCGATTTGTAAATTAATGAATTAATTATGATTGGGAATTTAAGGTTCTTTAAAAATTGTTTTAAGTAAACTTGTTCCCATTCATTACAAACAAATAAATGAATAAATAAATTACATAGTATATTTTCTTTGTTTGTGTTTGTGTGTGGGTGTTTGTATTTGTATGTTTGTGTTTGTGTTTGTGCGTATTTTTGTAAGACCTGGAATTAGTTTTTTTTATTTGAATTTTTTTATAGAAACGCCTCATATATTTCGCAAATATAGAAGTGATGATCAAATGTCATCCTACAAAATTGCATATTATTAATATATTGTCAGCAAGAGACTATATGCTGACATGCAATGTGCACAGTCGAAGAGATTTCCCGCCAAATCTTCCTCACTTGGCAAGCGACTTGCCGTTTCTCCGTCGGTTAAGGAATATTCGGAAATCTAGTTTATTAATCTTATTAGTTAATTAGTGCTAAAACGAGGCGTGTTGCTTTGTGCTCAGTAGCCCACTCATAACAGTTCTACGTGAGCGCGGGCAGCATATGGCGCTTGTGTCCATCAATGTGTTCAATCCCAAACACAAAGATTAATCTCGATGAGTCATAGATTTATAAATCGCTGGCTTCCGTCCACCATGACAGGCATTAGAGCCTTTTCTGAATATGGTAAATGGCCCTAATTAGATTTTGGAGCTTATTAGTTATTTATTTCATGATTAGAGCCTATTATAGGCAACTGTATGCCATAAGCCGTATTGTAAGAAGGACAGCTGCATTGCTTCACTCTCTAACTGTACTAAAATGTATGTATAAGTATGATGCAAAAAGTGTGTTAGATTTGTTTTTATAAACTGAAATACAGTAAATGACAGTGGGAGCTGTAGGATCTGTAATTGTTGTCCCTTCATTGTTTGCACAGTTTGTTTTGTTGAAGACTCACATCCGTATCCTCCGGTGATAATCCCGTCTCGGTCTAATTTGCTTTGCTCAGTGATCTGTGTGTAGTTTATCAAGGCAACGACTTCACCGGCGCTCAGCTCTGATTTAAGACAGAAAGCTGCACTCTACTAAGAATTGTGCGTGTTTTCAGTAGAAAAGTTCATAGGAGGCATGGCAGGTCCAGGTTTCAATCGATAAGAAATGTGATTTGATTTAAATTTATATTTTGTTATTTTCAAGAAATTTTATTTTTATATTGATCACGGGGGGGTTGTAAAGCTTTGCTATTAATATAATGTGATAATATATATAATACTGAAATTGTAAATATTATAATATTCGTTTATTGCCTTTAATTTATTCTGCCTTTATTGCATTATAAATGACAGTAATAGTAAACATTCTAATACAGTAAATCAAATACATATTCCTAGAATCTAATTAGAATCATCAGTGAGATTATTGATAATTACAAAAACAAACATCAAGGTAATGAGAGTTTTGGGGGATATCAGCTTAACTGGCATGAAAACAATAGCATAATGCAAATAAATAAATGAATTAGTAAATAAATAAATAAATACCAAAAAGTGGCTTTAATTTCTTTGTTAAATGTAGGTTTTTGTTGTTGTTGTTTTAAATGTGACCTTGTTTTTGTGAGGTCCCCAAATCATCTGGAAACATATAAAAAGTAAAGAAATAAAAAAAAAACACTGCTTTGAATGTCGGTCGAGCACTGTGACTGTATCCCTACAAAGCACTGTGAGAATAAACACTATACTGTAGTGAAAGCATGATCAGACATTAATGATAGCTAGACAGAAGTAAAACGGATATGTTCGCTAAAGTCTCTCATGATGAAGTCGCTGTGTTGTATTTACTGAGGCACATGTTCATGCACACTGTAAAAGTTAGCCGCACTCTTTGACAAGAGCTGACACTCAGAGAGATTATAGGCAAAGCGCCTTATGTGATGCACGGAGATGTGAACTTCTGTCAATATAGCTTCAAGGACATTCGGTTCAGCTGCAGAAAACACGCGGACTAGTTCTGCTGCACAGGTGCCTCTCACTCTCACTGCTGACCGCTGTATATGCACATTCCCCATGCAGCCTTCAAATAAAAGAAATACTAATCTATAAATAATCAACACTACAATGCTTAAATAAATCTATTATTTATTAATTAATTGATTATATTGTTTATTATAATTGATAACGGTCAATTGTCATGTATTTTCTACAATATTTGACAACATTTCAATCAGTATGGTGGTATATATTAAAGGACTGTGGTATATGGTAATGCATCAAATACATTTAAAACTGTTTTTATTTATTTATTTATTTTAAAGTCTTTCTCTATATGATACATCTCTATTGATTTTATGCCTAACCTTTGCAACTGCAACTACCAAACT